CAAATATTTACAAATTAAATTTTTCCTCATATTAATTTGATAGAATTTATTTTTAAAGTAAAATAACTTAATTTGATAGAATTAATAATTTTTTAAATGCATTTTTAGTTAATTTTAAATAATATAATTTAATAAAAATAATAAATAAACACATATCTTTTAGTAAAATAATAATATATTATTTGTTAATTACTGTCTAAGAAAGACGTTTTCTCATTTTTTTATAAAATTATATTAAAAATATTACATCTTCAGTAAATATTTCTAAGAATTATAATAGAGATACAAAACTAGAAACATTAACTAAATTTGTTAAATGATTTGTTATCAAAATATTTTGAATTATTTATTTAGATAAAATTTAATATATTAAAAGAAAAACAAATGCAATGCCATAGACATATAATAGATATTACAAAATTTATAGATAAAAAATAACTTGTGAGTTTAGTAAAAATTAATAAATGTTTACAAATTTAAATTTTTATCTTCATTTGGTAAATTTTTTATTCCTTAAAATATATTTTTATATTTAAATAAAATAATTTAATAAAAGTAATAAATAAATATATTTATCTTTTACTAAAAAATACTGCAATATTTATTAGGTGGGCTAACCCCGACCCTAATCCTAACTCACCCATTTTTTATATATTAGAGCTTTAGGCCAAAGTTAGCCCCTTCCGTGTAAGGTTTTGAAAATTTGAAACTATGTATTGGGTTACATGGAGTGCTTTGTGGACTTCAGAGCACATTGACAAATTTATAAAATATTAAACTATAAAATTTTAAATTAGCTTGCATTCTTACTTCCTATAGTTGCTGCTATACACTCAATTAATGCAGTTTACCTAACCCATATTTATGTAATTTTTTAAATTTAAATATTTACCAGTATAAATTAAATAATAAATTTTATATTTAAGAGTAATTAATTTTTTTAAATTTTATATATACTTTTAAATTAGTGACATTTGTCATTTTCATTTAAAACAAATTATTATTGTTTAACTATTTTTATTAATTTATTTAATGCAATTATCTCAAATGTCCTTTTTACTAATCTTACGGTTTAATTTCTAAAATTATTAGTATCAAACATTTAAATCTTTAATATTTTAAAATATTCAAGTTAGTCATTAAATTTTTATTTTTATTAATTATTTTAATATTTTAGTGATATATTATTAACACACAATATCAAAATATTGACATACAATATTGATTGTGTGTTAAAAATAATATTATATATAATATAATATATGTTTTATTTTTATTTTAATAATTAATATTGTTAGTGTTTGATATTTTACTTTTATAGATTTTTAAATTATTAAATTTATTGTCTTTAATTTTCTTCATTCTTTTTTAACATTACTATTATTAAAAATTTATTTATTAAATTTTATTATTGTTGTTCCTATCGTTGCCTTCTTCTTTAAATAAATTTACTTTTTTTATAACTACAGTATCTGGTATTCTCTTTATAGTTAGTATATCTTTATGCAACTTGTTAAAATAAAACCACCATAACCTCATTATAATTTTGAAAGTAAAAAAGAAAAATAGAAAATCCTAAAAAGAAAGATAGAGAGACCAATAAAAAAAAGTGTGCTAAATAAGGTTGTAATTACAAAATAATTTTTTTAGTGTTAAATTGAAAAGAAGAAGTAAAAGATAATAGCGAATGACAATGGTGTGAACGCTCATTTTTGTCTTGATCACAAATTTTATTAAATAATAAATTCCAAAAAATAAAAAAGATAATTAAAATGACATATAATCAATAAAAATTATAAAAATATTTTGTAAATAATAATCATGATTTTCATTTTAAATTTTATTTAATTTAAGAATATATAGAATAAAATCAAATAATCAAGGTATAAAAAAATATACTTAGTAACTAATCTATACATGCAAGGAGGGATTTCCTGCATAGAGAAATTGTACATAGATTTTTTTCACGAAAAAAATTTTGAAAAGAAGATTTTTTAGAAGAGATTTATAAAAGAGAATTTTTTGCATATAATTCTTTACACGAAAAATACAAAAAAAAAAAAAAAGTACAGCTTTTGACAATTTTCTTATATGAAACATGCGTTAATATCGTATCATACTATTTCTTTTCTTTTTCTTTCTTTATTTTATTCCTTTTTTTCCTTTCTTTGTTTTTTAGCACTTTTTTCTATTTATGTAGTTTTTTTTCCCTTTTCTCTTTTTTATTTTTTTTCTTTTTTTTTGTATTTTTTTCTTCCCCAAGCACCACCTCATTGTGCCAAAAAAATATAAAAAAAATATTTTTCAATTAAGTATCCTAATTATCATTTTTAAAAATAAAATATAAAGATTAGTTTTTTTGTTAAATCAATTTAAAAATATTTTAGTAAAAATAAAAAAAGAAAATAACGTAATTTTTAAATTTTAGGTTATTAAAATTTTCAAAATAAAAAATATAAAAATTTTAGAATGTTAAATTACTTTCAAAATAAAGTCTTTTTCTATTTAACTCTTTATTTCAAAATAAAATATAAAATTTTTGTTTCAGAAAAAGTTTATTTTCAAGTTATTAGGACTTTGTCACCTTTCAAATAAAAAAATAAAATAAAATTGTTTACATAATTATTTTATTTTTCTAAATAAAATATGATTTGAGATCTCAAATATAATTTTTCTTATAATAATAACAATTTATACTTAAGGCACATTTTTAAAAATAAAAGAAATTAAAAAATAAAAAATAAAAAATAAAAAATAGAAAAACAAAAATAAATATTAGGGTCAATATTTAAAATTATTTTATACTATTTAATTTTGAAATATTATTCATTTAAAAAAGTAAATAGAGGTGCTAATAACTTCTCTATTCCTAACTAACTTTCGAGTTTGGGACTCTTAAGAATTTTTTTCAATATTCTGTCTTTATAAAAATAAATAAAATTTTGATGGCAGTTTCATAATTTTTAAATTAAAACTCTATTTTTTTAAAGTCGCTATCCTTTCACACACTGAGCAATAAATGATGATTTTTAATGAGATAATTTTTAATTAAAAATAATTAAAAAAATTGAAAGATTGATAAAGAAAATATTTTTATAAATAAAAATTTAATTTCACAAAAATAATGTTTTGTCTTATATTTTCAATATTTTTAAAACTAAACTGTCATTGAACTAGTTATGAATAAATAAATATAAGTTTATATAATATGATTAATTAACAATTAATATAATAAAAATGTTTTAAATTTATATTAATTAATTTTATTACATATTAATAAAAAAAGTACATTTTATCTTAATAAATATTTTAATTGTTTGAATTTATTTTAATATCCTTTTGTATATATTAAATATTTTGTTAAATTACTTTAATTTTTATTATGTTCAAATAATATAATATAATCTATATTACAACATGCATATGTTACATAATAAAATTAATGGTTTTATAGTTAAAATGTATATGCAAGATTAAGGAAAGTTAGTTCGAATGTCAAGCAGGTTAATATTATTTAAGAAAGTTTTTGAATTTAAATTTTTATATATACAAAAAAAAATTGTGGTAATAAATTCACCTACTATATCCAAATGTATTATTGACATTACTTAAAAAAAACATTAAATACAAAGTTAATGTATTTAATATTTAAAATATAAAATGTTTAATAATTTGTAATTAAATTAATAGAAAGAATAATATTTAGTTAAAAAATATTATAAAATAATTCAATGCTTAAAAATAAAATTATTGTATCAAACTTATAAATATTTTTAAATTTGTTTAATAATTAAAAATAGTAAATAAGATATATTAAATTAGAAAAATTATAAATATTTTTTATAATATTATCTTATTAATTAAAAAATTAAGTGTTTTATTAAACTTTCTGAAGATTGAGTATATCAAAAGTAGTAATTTGTTTTCTTAAAAAAACTTATTTATTATATTAAAATTATAAAAATAAGTTTTTTTTATAAAATTTAATATTATTAATTATTTAAACTTGATTTTTAGAACTAAAATTAATATTTTTTTAAGAACTAAATATTTTTTAAAAACTTTTGATTCATATAATTTTATTCAATATTTTTATAAATATTAAAAAATAATAATTGAATCCGATTTAAATTATTATTAAATTAATATTTTTAATTAGTATAAATAAAAAATTATACATGGTAAATTTTTTATTTAAAGTATAAAATTAAATATATCACGATGTTGAATATTGTTATTTTCAATAAAAAAAATTTATTTATTAATATTTTATTACGTGTATATTGTAAGGTTAAAAAATAGTTATCAAATTAGTGTGGTTATTGTTTTCTAAATTTGTTAACTGAACCAATTATTTAATACTATTTAAGCTGGAGAGACGAAATCCTCGTGACCAGACCGACCACATTGTTTTCTTCGTTGGGGTATCGTCGTCTTCTTCCTCTTCCTTCTTCGCCATTAGGGTTTCCGGTTTCCCTTCGTTCCTTCAACTCATGTGTTTCTTCAATTTCCTCTTTCTCTAAATTGCGAAATCCCAGCTAATCGTGCGACGCGGTATGGTTTTCTTTTCTTCTCTTCGTTTCTGCCTTGAATGTGCTGTGCACTTGGCTCGTGGTTTTGGTGATGAATGTTTTTTATGAATTAGGAATTTTGTTTTCCTTCGTGTGGCTCTTATGTGGCGTTTGGGTTTGTAGCATTTCGTCGCTTGAATTTAGTGGAGCTTGATGGTTGATTTGGTGTGTTTTGTTTTGTTTCCGTTTGAAAAAATTAATGAGTGGTAGTGTATCTATGTACTCTGTTTTCAGTTTTTGGTTGTTAGGGTGTATTTTCGAGTTAAATTTTATTCTGTGGGAGATAATATGCAGGTGATGAAGTAACGATTTAGGGGCAAGTTGTCGTTTAGTTGAATAATTTGTTATTGTTTTATAAGGAAGATTTGAAAATTTTCATGTAGAGTTATTTGGAAAATGATTGTTGGTTGGCATGGAGTATTTTCACATTGCATATTTCAATCAAGTGGTTTGATGATTTGGCAAAATCATCAATCTTGTTGATACTTTTAAGTGCATTCAATTATCTCCATTTACTGCAGTAGATGTGTGTGTGTTACTTTTTGAGTGTATTGTAGCTCCCTTGAATATGAAAAACTCAGTCTGCCGTGGTGGAAGGGTACCTTGCATGGTTTGAAGCTGTTTAAATGTGTGATTAACTGATTATAACTTTTAGCGAAACACTTTCATCGTATGTCACTTGTACTTATGTAGCAAGCTCCTTAACGAGACTATTATGTGAAGAAGTGAAGATAACCAGTTTTGGTTATTGGTTGAAATTCTGACGCTAATTTGATTCAGCCAAAAGTATGTGCTATGGTTAAAGTGTTTGGCTTTCTCTATGTACTTAGCTGGATTGGAATGCTATGTAGAATTATATGGAAGTTTGGGTTTGGCAATTTATTAATGTCCTATTTTGTATTAGCAGCAGTTGAAAATAATAAAATTTATTGTGGATTACATTAGGTGAAATTGCAACTTGAATTTCAGTTCGTTCACTAAGGAGTTTGTTGTCTTCAGGTCTCTATTAGGTATCGTGTCATAGCTACAGTAAGCTCCACTTTACATGTGTTAGATTGAGGAAAGGTGGAGTTTGTATGATTGTATCAGAAAATATAAATTTCTTTATTTTTTAAAAAATTGAGTCTTGCTCATTTTTTAAAACATTAGATTCTGTAAATTTTCTGCAATATGAAAATATCTCCTTACTTAATGTATTATGAGTCTCTCAAGAGTTGATCCTCATTTCCATTTCTATACTTCGATTTATAATTTATATTTTATCAACAAGTTCTCTTCTGACATGTTATAGAGGAGTAATGTTTTGAAATGTCAAAGGATGGTAGAAAACACTGGAAATCAACATCCACCAACTCTGCTTCTAAAGTAGTGCCATCATGCATTCATAAGTGTCATAAATTGTTGTTCACTTTTGGGCTGTGGTTGCTGTTGAGGTTGGCCAATGGCCAGGCATTTGATGATATATGATAGGGTCAATTTTAATGAATATTGAAAAGATTCTGTCCATGGAAGGTTTGTTTTTTGGGTTGTTGGTTGCACGAACAGAGGAACATAATATTGAGACATGAATAAGTTTTCTGAATTAAGTGCACTTTACCACTTGGCTAGTTCTCTCAACTGGTCATCCCTCAAGCTGTAGTGCTCATTATGTTTGGCATGGGAGTAACCTTACCTGGTATCTTGTTTCTTCAAGATCATTGAAGGAAAGTGAGACTAGAGAACACATGAGAGAGGTCTGCTGGTTAGGTGCTTATTACATAGTACAGCATGCAATTCATTCAGGGAGAATGGATCTTGCCTGACCTTATACAATAAGCACCTAGAAGATTTATGTGGTGGATATAATTATGGATTATGAATACAACCTGCATTTAGTCTGTTCTATGTTAAGAGTAAAGAAAACAACAGTTGAGTTAACCATTAGAATTACAATAATTGAATTTGATTTTTAATTTGATCTATTGTCCATAAAACACTTGTGGTCAGACCATCTTGATGTTGATCTTATCCCTTGCGTGAATGCATTATGTTTGTAAAATGCATCCGTTCTCCCCTGCACACATGCGTTTTGACATATTTGTGAGAACAATGGTTGTGGATTTGATGTGTGTGTTGTTTGTAGGTTGTGTGTTTGGAAGTTTTGTAAAATTAAACTGTGCTGCTTCCTTAGATTAACCCTTAAATTTGCATCAGGAATTTAGGCATTGTTGTTAAAGGCTTAGCTTCTCTTTCTTCAGGCATATTGGAAGCTCACCTAACACCTGGGTTCTATAATTAATGCATTCACACTGAGAGCAGTCGGCTGATTTCAAGATGAGCAATTCTCACTCCGAAAATCATGCAAGTGATTTATTCTTTATAATTTCATCAATTACTTGACAGTAGTAGCCTAGTTGGTCTGAAAGATACAATCTACCTGCAGGATGAAGCAACTGTTGTGGGATTTGAAGTTCCGAAGTCTCCTGATTCCAGTTACAATAATGTCTACCCGGGAAATGAAGATGAGGCACGGGATCCTCCTATGGTACCTTCACATTTGCAACACACTTTGCTCAATTATCCTGCTAGTAGAGACACAGCAGGAACTCTTCCATTGCCTCAGAACGTGATTCTAAATCATCTTTATATCGAGAATAGAGAGTCTCCAAGATCTGTGGTGGCTTTGGGATTCACACATCGATTCCGTTCTAAATATGTTACAGTTGTGCTTTACAAACCAGTCCAAAGAAGGGGAAATACAAGCATTTAATGTGCATATTAAAAACCCAGATCACCTTTGGTTTGTAATGATTTATTGTAGACTTGATATTCAATTCCAGGAAATGATATTTAATGAACTTTAGATTGTATCATGGAAACTTGGCTGTATATTTATTTGTCAATTAGTTTTTTTAACGTTGTGATACAGGATATAAACCATTTTTTGTGTTCTGGGTAGTAGTTCAATGAATAGGATGGTAATGTGGGGGTTATGAAACTAGGGCTTTTAGTAGTGAATTAAGGAATAAAAAATACGGATCACTAGTGCCTTTTTTCCAATTATAAAGTAAAAAATGATAAATTTTGTATAATAATAATTTATCAAAGCAATCAAACTTTGTTTAAGAAAATAGTTCCTTCGATTATTAACTAAAGGTGAAGTGGTTTCCCAAAAGTAGAGCGGAGTACCCACGTGTGTGATGGTTTTGTTTTGTTTTTTTTGTGCAATATAGGAGCTAGCCACAGCTCTTTAAAAGGAGGATAGTAAATAATGAACACCCTAATTTTGAGATGCAGAAAGTAAAAGAAAGAAAAAGAGTAAATAAAAAGAATTATAATTTACTATTTATTATTTAATTAATTTTTTGTATTAATTAATATAAAAAAATAAAGACGGGGCGGGTCGGAGAAATCCAAAACCCGACGGGAGCATAATTAGGTTACTAGTTTTTTAATCCAAAAAAGTTGGGTTGGAGTTGTAAACCCGCCCCGTTGTGAATTTAAGCAACTCTAGGAGGTCGTGAAAGGGTGATTTGGGTTATATATGGTACAGTCCCAGTCGCCATCAATTGCTGCAACTTCCGATTACATAAGCCACCGGAGACAATTTATCCTCTTTTTTATACCAATATTCATTTAAAAAGACACGCAACCAATAGGAGCCTTTTTAACAAGCATAGTATGTATATACAAAATTATTTATATTATAAATGAAAAAAAGAAATAAATAATTGAACTGGAGTTGTTTATGACATATATATATATATATATATATATATATATATATGTACAATTTATATTTTTTTAAGAGCATGATGTATTTATAGTCTTATATAAAATTATAATATAAATAATCATCTGCCATGCAAGTGACATGATTTTTTCGAGAATGGTGTGAATTCCCGTTACGGCTTCACGGCTTCCAAGATACCACATATATGTGTTTATATATATAGAGAGAGAGAAATAGATGGATAGATAGATATATGAAATTAATTTGAAGATTTTTAATAAATAAATAAAAATAATAACATTTTATTTTATATATACGTTAAATTTTTTTATTTCTTTTTCGCAAGAAGACAATGGAACATTAAATGAATTGTATTAATATTTAGGCTTACCTCATTGGAAAACTGCAAGCAATACACGTATAAATCTCTCCTAAATGATTTAAGCATGTTTTTGGTTATTATTAACGTGCAATTGAATTAGTAAAGTGATTTATGTTTAGAAATTTGTTTCTTATATGTAAGTTTGTGAAAAAAATAATGTAATTTTTCACTTAATGAAAACATTATTTTATTCAAATCTAAATTTAATACCTTTTACACTTATATCTGTACATCATATTTAATTCCATTCCATTCCAAGTACATTGCATGGAGATAGCGATCAAGACGACAACACCACAAATAATGGCTTGAATTAGAGGAGAGATCCCACTCCACTGCATGAGTACGTGAGTATGTGTGTAACTGATTTTGCTTGTGTTGTGTAAAATTCATGTTCATGCATGATTGGTTTTACGACACAAAATTGAAATTGGGTGTATATTTTAAGGAATTTGAACGGGTGATTTTGGTATATGTCAAAGCCTCTATATATAATTGCTATATTGACTTAGCAACTTGCTTTGCATTGGCAACGCCATAGTATTTTTCAAAGGGGCAACAACTTTTACTCTGCTACTTGCCACCTATCTGGGTTACGTAAGTGAAACATATTTAAATGCAAACGATTGTCCTAATACTATATATATAGAAATATGCATTAATTATTTTACAGTGTGTGTAGCTAAGCATCTTTATGAGAGTTGATTATGTGTGATATGTGAACCTTTGAGATATACCGTGGGTTCTTTCGCATATGCGGCGAAATGGATTATGTGAAATACAGCTTTGTTTAAAGCTTGGCAACCCTTGGGAATGGGATAAATTATATTGACACCAACATTAATTTAGGCATAATGTATGGAAGAGAGAAATGACAACAAATTGTGATAGAAAAGAAGAGAAATATATATATATATATATATATATATATATATATATATTTATATTTATAAGACTAAAACAAAAGTCTCGTGTCTTTATACTTTTTTTATATTTATTTTTCGCTTTCTTCTTCTTCTCAGGTAGTTTTTGTTCCTTTTCCTTATTTTCTGTCTTTTTAAAAAAAAAAAATTGTGTCGCACTTTTTTTGCACTTATTTAAAACAAAATAAAAAGATTTAATTTCACTTTTAATCTCTACACTTTAAAATATGTGCAAACTTAATTCTTCTAATTTTAATAGTCCACACTTATTCTTTTTTTAGTTTTCTAAATATTTAAGTTAATTCTTTTACTTAAAAATTAAGACTTACATTATACTGTATATATTTTATTTTGTATTTGTATTTAAATATTTTATATAAATCAATAAAATATCATAAATTTATTATATTTTTATTAATTATTCAATAAATTTTTAGTGGAAGACTTAAGTTAAATATTTTAAAAAATTAAATATAAATAATTAAAATTAAAAATACCAAAATTACTCATACGTTATCCAGAGAATAAAAATACAATTAAGTCAAAGAAAAAAAATGTCTCAACAAATTATTTTTATATAAGAATTGGTGGGAATCCCAACTTGCTCTTAGCAGATTCTTGCATTGTCAACGCCTGCCTACAATAAATACCACACCCTCCTTGTCTCTCCTTCACAACCTTCACTTCTCAAATCAACTAAGCTCTTTCTCTTTGCTATACTCTTTGTTTCTTCAGTTTTCCCCACACACACGCAATATATATCTAATTATCAAGGCCAAATGGCTGATATTGAGGGTTCTCCGGGAAGCTCCATGCATGGAGTAACTGGCAGAGAACAAACCTTCATATCCTCAGTTGCTTCCCCAATGGTCCCAACTGACACCACAGCCAATTTTGCTTTGCCAGTTGATTCAGAACACAAAGCCAAGGTTTTCAAACTCTTCTCCTTAGCCAACCCTCACATGAGAACCTTCCACTTGTCTTGGATATCCTTCTTCACTTGCTTTGTCTCAACCTTCGCTGCAGCCCCTCTTGTCCCCATCATTCGCGAGAACCTTAACCTCACAAAAAGTGACATTGGTAATGCTGGTGTTGCTTCTGTTTCAGGCAGCATCTTCTCTAGGCTCACAATGGGTGCAGTTTGTGACCTATTAGGCCCACGTTACGGCTGTGCCTTCCTTATTATGCTGTCTGCTCCAACAGTGTTTTGCATGTCGTTTGTCAACGATGCTGCAGGATACATAGCAGTGAGGTTCATGATTGGGTTTTCTTTGGCCACTTTTGTTTCATGCCAATTTTGGATGAGCACCATGTTTAATAGTAAGATTATAGGGCTTGCGAATGGAACTGCTGCTGGTTGGGGAAACATGGGTGGTGGAGCCACTCAACTCATAATGCCATTGGTGTATGAGTTGATTAGAAGAGCTGGGGCTACTCCCTTTACGGCATGGAGGATTTCCTTCTTCATACCTGGTTGGCTTCATGTGATCATGGGGATCCTGGTCTTAACCCTAGGCCAAGATTTACCTGATGGCAACCTTGCTACCTTGCAGAAAAAGGGTAATGTTGCCAAAGATAAATTCGCCAAGGTAAGTCTCCTATATGTGTGTTTTGAGGACATAATAATTAAGTGCAATTTAACTAATTGTTTTAAAGAAATAATCACTTTATTTTATAGTTTTATATTTTTAAAATATAAGTGGTCTATTATTCTTTTAAAAATCTTCCTCAAGCTTTTTATATATATTTATTTCTTATTTTTATATATTTATATTATTTGTATAATCTTTTAAAATTGAAAATCAGATAAAAAAAAGTGATATTTTGGTAAGTAATTATGAAAATAGAAAATTGAAACAGAAAAAATGCTCCTTGCTTGATTCAGGATCAACAAAAATTAAATCAGGCAAAAGTAAGGCAAATTTTTGGGAAGGAAAAAAGTTCAAGCAATTAACTTATTAACTAATTTGGTAACACTTTTGTGATCAGGTGTTATGGTACGCGGTAACAAATTACAGGACATGGATTTTCGCCCTCCTCTATGGGTACTCCATGGGAGTTGAACTAACCACTGACAATGTCATTGCTGAGTATTTCTATGACAGGTTAGTTCAGCTGATCCTTGAGCTCGAGCCTCAATTTTTTATGTACAAATTAATATCTCACATGCAAATTAAGCAGATGAGGTTACATTAACAAACTTGTTTTTTTTTTTTTTTCTTACTAATTAATCTCTATTGTTAATTAACTAATACAAAACAGGTTTAATCTCAAGCTGCACACCGCTGGAATAATTGCTGCTTCATTTGGAATGGCAAACATAGTGGCTCGACCCTTTGGTGGATATGCTTCTGATTATGCAGCCAGGTTGTTTGGCATGAGAGGGAGGCTCTGGACCCTATGGATCCTCCAAACCTTAGGAGGGGCTTTCTGCATATGGCTTGGGCGAGCTAACTCACTTCCAATTGCTGTTTTGGCTATGATCCTCTTCTCTATTGGAGCACAAGCTGCTTGTGGTGCAACTTTTGGTATCATTCCTTTCATCTCAAGGAGGTCTTTGGGGATCATATCAGGCCTAACTGGTGCAGGTGGAAACTTTGGATCTGGTTTGACCCAGTTGATCTTCTTTTCAACCTCCAAATTTTCTACATCCACAGGTCTCTCCTTGATGGGTGTCATGATTGTGTGTTGCACTCTTCCTGTGACACTTGTTCACTTCCCACAGTGGGGTAGCATGTTCCTCCCTCCTTCAAAAGACGTTAACAAATCCACTGAAGAACACTATTACACTTCTGAATGGAATGAGGAAGAGAAGCAGAAGGGCTTGCATCAGAACAGCCTCAAGTTTGCTGAAAATAGCCGCTCTGAGAGAGGCAAGCGTGTGGCCTCTGCCCCAACACCCCCAAATACTACTCCAACCCATGTCTAGCCCATGGGTTTGAAGTCAAGTTTTAAGGCTATAAGGTATAACTATTGCATTAGAAAGTACCCATCTAATAATGAGGAACATAATAAGTTAGTTTTTTCAACAAAAATAAATCTTGAAACAGTAATGATTCTTGCTCTTCAGAATTTTGGTGTAATATAATATTTACACCATTCCAATTCCTTCTTAGGATCTGGTCTATTTTTCCATACAGTGGACTTTCGTATATGTCGGTCACATGCAAGAATCATAATTACCAAAAAAGTGACGTAAAAAAGAAAACAATGTATCCTGTTTTGAGTTGTCGTGTGCAATTTATAAATTACTTATATTATAATATGTACACATTGAATATTCTAGGATCTGGCTTGTACGATGTGGGTAATGGAGAACAATATCTAGATTCGGGTTGGGAGTTTTTAACTGGTGAATGATATCACCATCATTACGACAACACAGATTTCGATGGTGGACATTACTAGTTTAGCTAGATGATGTTGGATTAGTGGAATGGAATCAGTAATTAAATCAATATATTAGTATTTCTCAACTCAATTATTGTAGATTTGTTTAAGAAAAGTTGCCTTGTCTCTTCTCGTGAAGTTGAGTATGTAAAAGTCATATATATAATATTACTAATACGATGTAACGCCAATATTTATATACAATTGTGCAATGTTGCCAAAGTTGCACCTATTACAAATTTTATTTAAAGCTTACATGGGTAACATGCTCACGTCTGCTTTAGAAACAGAACGGTAACCACTGTCTGTAATATGCTACAATACTTCCTGTTTCACTTAATTCCAAATTCTTCAGACGGCAAAAACTAACGATAGTATTTGACAATGTTAAGAACGAGACAAAGTAAGAGTGTGATATCAGAGTCAGTTTTTGGGTACGCAGATTAGTTATTAGTTTATTTTTATTTCTATAGAGAAGACAATAGCAATTAGCACATGTGCTTGAGCTGTTTCCTGCTTCTGTCATTTGCATCCATTCTTGTTCTGTATGTTTATATAGATTTTTTTCATGATATCCATGAAAAGGGATGCACGGTTGTGTGACTTCATGCTGCTCAAGTGTTTCGAAACACTAGGTACTATGCTGTGATTTACTTCAACATTTTTATTTGTGATCTATGTTCATTGTTTGATAAGCCAAAGGGAAAAATCTCTAGAAAAATAGACTCAAGAATATAAAAGGAAACACGACTTGAATAACCATTCTTCATATAAGGAAAAAACACTCGCAAAATCCAAGGTACGTGCATAACTTAATGATTAAAAGAAGTCGCATGTATGGAAATGCGGTGTTATCCAACAACTGCAATAGGAAGTATATGAAGTGTGTGTAAATTAGAGCAAATATCAATACTCTTTTCATATGTAGTGACAGTAAATTCAAAACCTTTTCTACCAAATCCCTGCTCGGTCCAATTAAACTTTAGTTCTGCAAATGCAACAAAAGCATTCTATATAAACTGCCATTGAAATACATATAAAATTTTGCTTCATGTAGAATGGATCAAGGAAAAACAAGTGAATGCTAATTACTCACTAACTTTTGTTCATTATGTTAATTTCAACCTTGATTTCATCAAGAGCACATGCAATGCTGTGGATCTGTTTCTTTTGAACTGGGTAGACAAGTAAAGCTAAACTAGTAACTTAGCTTCCCAGTGCCACCACAGGTTGAACAGGATCGAGCAGAAGAGCACTTCGTACAATAGCTCCACTTCTTTGGAAGCCTGGTATAAGTAATTGAGTTGAATCATTTAACTTAAAAATTAAAGATTAGTAAAAGCAAGATGAAAAAAAATAGTACCCAGATGTGAATCGAGTTGCCATATTCTTCGCCAGTACTCTTGCCTTCTCAGCACTTTCCTCAGAGCGTTTCCTAACAACGAATCCTTCACCCTTGCATTCTGAACAGATACCAGAACCTCCACAATCTTCACATACTCTGAATTGAATCTTTCATTTTAAAAAAATTACGTAATTAGATAAACAGTTAGCAATTTGGCACACAATTTAATTTTATCTCTACTTTACCCCAATTCCGGCAATAATGACATAAATGAATGATCTGTGCTGTCTTATAATAATAAAGTGCACAGCACCAACTCAGAGAATAATGAAAACTACCAGCAATGACCAAATTATCAAAGGATATGAAAATCAACACTAGTGATTTTTAACTTTTCCAAGAAATTTCTTTAGAGAAACCGAGTTAGTAATGTCACATAACCAATTTGAACCCTGGTAATTTCTCATGTTGCACTACTACTACAAAACAATCACTGAGCCCTTGAACAATAGAAGTATTCCAAAGATTTTATGTTCTTATTAGGAAAAGCAAGGTGGCTTTTTTTAGTGGCATGTTGCTTAGTTTGTAAGTATAACTAGTTATTTTGTTGATACTAACAATAAAGATGGATCACTGACCTGTGTTGACTCAGAAGTTTTGGATCTCTTTACAAGAAGAGTAGCTGCTGCACCAACAAGAGTTGCAGCAACTGCCACTGAAGCTACAGTCTCAGGCAATGCAGAGGAAACCGTGGATAATCTCCTTCTTTGCCATTGTAACTTCACACCTATTCAAGAAATAAAATGAGACTAGCAAAGCAAGTACAGCATAAAACAGAAGATGGAAGATCCATTTCAAGGGAGCATAATAACTAATTTTATGTTTTAATAATGAAATAATATAACTAAGGAATTAATTATTCCAAAGAATGAAAAAAGATGTAAATTTATGCTCAGTGTAGATTTGCAAGAAAGAGAGAAGATATTTTAGATAATATTATTACCAGTGAATGCTTGGACTAGAAAAGGAAAAAGGGAAATTATGCCAAGCTTAGTATATATAAGTGTCTTTGTGATCGTTATGAGCAAGCCTTATCGAATAAATATAGTATTTTCCCATTGTAACCAAAGATTGAATTTTTTTCTTTACTTGGTATATTTTAGGGGTATTCCTAAAATGTTTCACTCTTGCTCCTCTTTCTTTCATTTGTTCTGCGGAACCCAAGGGTTTGGGCCAAAGATTAATAGGAACTACAATCCAAATAACTAAAAAAGAAATAAAGAATCACCATCATGGAGCCACACAAGGCCAATTGAAGAACCCCAATTTCAACCAGAGTTAATTCTCGTGAAAATTTTGGATTCCCTTTAAGTTAACACTTTACACTAATCCTGTTGGTCTGAAAATTGGTGAAGGTGAAGGGCACCTACTGAGACTATTCCTCCATAACAATAGCAATGAATTGGGACGGTGGTTCCACCGAACAGAAGAACCACCTAGTAAAAGCCATATTGTACACTTGTAATATAATTTATACACATAACATAATCCTCTTTAACCCACATCAGAATTAACTAGTCTAAGCAACTTTATCAAGTTTCAGTTACCATATGATTAAGCAAATACAAGGACAATTTAGAAATGTAATGAGAGTACAAGGTTTGTTCATTTGTTGGTATTTATTTAGGAAAAAAGAAGAAAATATCTTACAGTGAGAGAAGCAGGGCAGTGATATGGGGTGGTGCAGAGCAATTTCCATTCGGATAACTGTCCTGTTTTGTCCACCAACTATTACTCTCTCTACTCTTTTTCCCTTATCATGTTCCCCTCCTCGCCTAGATATCAAATCAAAATGTTGGAAATTTTTTTTTATACCAAAGTACAAATAAAATTACTCAATTAACTTTAAGGGAGAGATACTGTAGAGAGAGAACAGTGATCAAACGTATGGGGTATAATTTATTTATTCTTTGAATATTATAAATTAAATTAAATAAACCAAAATTCAAAAGCATCTTTATCACTGTTCTATGTATTAACAAGTGTTATATTATTTTTATAACAGTAAGTTTTTATTTATTATTTTTCTCCATATTATTCATTTTATCACTTTATTCTCTCTCTTCTTCTTTTTTAAACTTTTTAATTCATAAAAAAATTATGCATATTTATTTGTTTAAATATTATTTTTCTATTAGAAAACGAATAATATTTTGTGCACAGAAAGTTCTTCCGAGAATTAACATTGGACAATAGTTTGTGTGAAAATGGTATCAGAGAGAGTAAACTAAAAAAACTCTGTTTATTAAATTTCTATGAAACATGTGACAGAAGTTGTGTGTGTGACCAACGTTATTTTAAGAAGCATATAGACAAGCAGCTAATGGTCAATAAAAACAGCCGTTTATTCTTTTTCGCCTTTATAGAAGTTCCTTATGGGATTAATTTCTTTTTAAGCTTCTTATAGCATAGTTTGGGTGTAGATAACTAAACAACAAAGAGAGCTTGAAATTGAATAATGCATTCAGTTAATAAGACATTTGAACTATGTTCAAACAGTATTAATTAATAATCTGAAAATCGAATAAGTGAAGTTTAATTAAAAGTCTTAGGTTTTGATCTTATATTACCCAAAAAAATTTAAGCAATAATTATCCACTTCTACAATAATACATTGAACTGAAAAAATAATTTTTAAATTACATCAATGATTAAATGGATAAAAGTATTGATTTAAAATATAATTACTCAACTATAATTTGATTAAGATTAAATTAGTAATAATTAAATATATAACTTATATATTATATAATATATTATAGAATAAACTAATATAAATTTATAAAAATTTAAGTTAATATTTTTAAATTAACTTTAAAAAATATTGCATACTTTATAAAATAAAAAATCTAGTATTTGATTCTTAACCAATTTTTTTGTCCATCAATTTCTTGAGTTATTTGAACTCATGACTTTCCCAATTTCTAATTCAACCAGTATAATTGACCAATGCATCATAGTAGAATTGAATTTTAGATTTAATATCAATATTGTTTTAGTATGTACAATGTATCTTATAAACAAAAATTCATGGATTTTTATTTTAATATTTATTTTATTTTATGTAATAAATGAATCACAGTGTGATTACTTTAATAATTTAACTTTTTCATTGCTTTTAAAAATGGATGATAAATAAACACTCTAGCCCGTGGTAAGATTAAGAAAGCAAGAACTCTTTAAAATAGATGTCACAACTACATCATATCAACTACATATTTATGTCCAATACTTCAGTTCACAGACACTTATCTCTGTATTTTTGTTACTTTTTGTTCTCATGTCTAAATTTTAACATTTAAAAGTTCACAAAAAATTGGAGAAGTTTTATTGGCTAACTTGAATATAATTGTCTTTAATAAAGAATATTTTACTTTAAATAATAATATATAAATTTTGAAAAAAAATATTTATTATAAAGTATTTGTATTGTGTTGAATCCGTGTTTTGTGTAGTATAGAGTATATGCCTTTTGACCCCAGCTCCAACCAGTGAGTAGTGACATGCTTCCCGTGAGCAAAGTAAATTTTGGTGTGTTTTCTAAATCTAACATTTACCATTCCATGCAATTTCATATTCATAATCAATACCAATTGCAGACCCATTACTGTAGCAGCCCATGTCAAAATAAATAAATATTTCAAATTTTATTTAAACAATGACCAAAATATGTTTTATCTAAACCAAAAAGAAAAGTACGAAGTACCCTCACACACTCGTGGAAGATTGGAAATTGAATTCTTCCTCTTTCCCCCATTGGATAAATTTATTTAGTCTGTGAATCATAAATGGTAGAGTTTGCACATTTTATGACCTTTTATTATGAGTCGCTCAGCAATGTACTAGACTCTGTAAATACTTCTTCTATACTCTCAATTTTGTCCTTTTTTAGTTTTGGGTAAACTATTAGTGTCAGTGAAAAATGCTTCCTCAGCATTCATTGGGAACCTATCACCCTTACCTGATTTGTATGTATAAGAAATATAAATAATATTTTTTTCTATATCATAAACATAAGTACCATTATAGATAGTCAATATAATATATTGCTTTGAGTATTTAACACGGCTACGTTTATTAGAATTTAAATTTAAGTTAAAACATTTTTTATTTAATGGTATAAATAATTGTATATTATATTACTTTTAGTGTTAATCTTTTAAAAAATATCACCATCAACTATTAATGTAACTAAAATTATTATTATTATTATTATTTATTAAAAATTATTACGTCAAGATTCAAATTAAAGTGAAATAAAAATATATTTTTAATAAAATTTTACTAATTATAAATACTTAGAATAATTCCAATAAAAGACTGATTTTTTAATGTGCAAATAATGAGAGGAAGAAAGTATAGGCGAGGAAACGATAAAGCAAGTGTTGTAAAGTTACGTGTTAGTGGGTCTGAGTAGCTATACTCAATGTCAGTGGTTAAGGTGCACTCTACAGCCCATGTCTAATAAATTTCAGACCCAACTGACCCAATTGCTCCAAGGTTGCAAAACTTTGATAAAAGACCAAGGAATGACCAAAAATAAAAAGACCAAAACAGGGGAAACAAAAGATAGGGACAGGGGTTGATGTTCTTTTGCTGCCCTTTAAACGTCACAAGTTGTAATGGACCAAAAATATATAAAAATGGAAAAGAAAAACCTCACAAGTTATACATACCGGCTTGTAGTTGAATAATTTAAATATGTGTCATCTCATCTATAATCAATAAGTATTGGCTCCCAATAAATACTAAACTATTGAATGGGAGCTTTGTGGGTGGGGCATTGTTATTAAGAGGAGCTATTCTGCAATATGTGGAGGGGGGCAAAGCTACCACTTCCAAAACAAGATTGATGAGGCTTATTAGGTGGCCAACCAATTTAATGGAACGTAAAAGACTACAGTGATAGTCATGATAAGAGTTCGTTAATTAATCGTCTTGAATTGTTACAATGACTCATCAACAGCCAAACAAGAGATTCACAAGACACTCATAATTAGACTATTAAGTTATCTACTATGTTCTTTAAATGAGTTCCCCAATTGGTTGACATTATCTTAATTATTTTTTCATAAAAACAGGCTGTTAGACTTTCATATTATTTATTTTCATTCAATTTTGTGAACTTTAACCTTTAAAATTAAACTTAAGCATATAAAAATATTAAAATTTTATTTAAAAAATCTATTTTAGACTTTTATATCTCTGATATAATAGACACTTCTCTTTCAATTACTTTTAAATATTTATACTCAATTTTAAGAACTAAGATAATATAATCAATTTTTATATATTAAGCATAAGTATATTATTTTTGAGGCATATGCTAATGAGAGACAAAAGGAAGATATTACTTGGATTTAGGGGCAAAAACAGAACAAATTTGACTTGAGTGGTGAGTGCAATAACATGAACTCACGAGCATACTCACTTGCAACACAGATAAAAAGAGCACCCACCTCGCCAACTCACCTCCACCACAACCCCAAAGTTATGGTGTACTACCAATGAGCTGTGCATATCTGCATTCATCAGCTATTCACGAGCCTATTTAAGACACTTAAGTTTTAACCCCTTCACAGCAATCTAGCATAAATTAAACCTCTCCTTTCGCAAACTCAAACCAAAGACTCTTAGAACATCAGCAAAATTTAAATGTCTACTACACGTATCTCCCTTCTGGCCCTTTACCTCATCCTATCCCTAAACTCTTTACACATGACTATGGCTGCCAGGATCATTCCTCGTAGTGCTCCTAGTACAGTTACAAGGCCACTTTTTCTATCCGAAGCTGAAACTTATTTGAAGCCAAATCTTGATCACAAGCAAAAGGTCTTCCAAGGAAGACAAATCAATAATTGTTTGCCAAAAGGGTATAGGCATAACTCAGCTCCAAGCAGATTCGTGAACTATGACACACTAGGCTCTAGTGGATGTTCTGGAATGCATTCAGAGAAACCATGAGAATGGAAGATACTTGACATGCATGGTTGTACTTGTACACTGTTTTTACACATATTTGAAGATGAGAAAATCGTATTTTCTTGCTTTGCTTGTTGTGATTGATTATATTTATTGCATATTTCAATTTTGAGGGATGTGCATAGGCAAGGGCAAAATGTTAGCAGCCTCTTCTCGTTATGTGTTGTGTATAGCTCAATGCGTAAGACATTGGCCAAACATGAGAAAGAGAGAAGATGTTTTTGTTTTCACCAAGCCATTAGCATATCTGCCATACAGTGTCTTGGCATTACGATACGCTAAGCACAAGCATGTATAATAATACCAAAGGATTATATATTTATTATGTAATACCCAAATACTATGGTGATATATATACCATGTAATGTTTTTTCCATGTCCAAGTGTAGTCCAATATTATTCAGTGTGATGGGCAACTAGCGTTTATTATTATTACTATTATTTTCTGTTTGTCGTGCTAATTTTTGTATTTGGTTTCCTGTTGTGTTTGATCTTTAGTAAATAAAATTATGAATATTCAAAGGAGTAAAATTGTAACCTTGGCAATTGGCATCTTCGGATAACTCCATTTAGAAAAGAAAGAAGTGCCCTTTTTAATTACAACTTGTGTTATTATGTTTGGATAAGTTTTTTAAAAAAACAAAAAACAGTTATGTCAGTTTTAGTTTATTTTAAATAAAAACAAATAATTAGAAAAAACTATAGCAAGAAGGCGTTTGTTTTTTTCGCAGTTTATCAAAGCACTCGTACACCTAGAAAAATTTGGAAAACAGACTCATTTTTATGCTCCCCTATACAAAAATAAAAGGACCAAAATGGCACCTTTCCTCAACCTCAAGCATCAACTTCCAAGTCATTCTTTATATCGTCACCAACAGGGCTGGGAAAAATAATGTCAATTGCTCGCTTATGCATTCTATCTACACACAGTGAATATAGCAATGATGATCTTGGGCAGATTAATGCCGACATAGGCTTGCGAATCATACACCTTATTAAAAATACATTCTAAAATTAAAAGAAAAATAACTTTTTGTTCTATTTAATAGATCAAGAAACATCTTCCTAGGAAAAAGAGAGGAAGGGTTATACAAGTGTTAAGGAGAGTTCCCATGGATCCAACTTTGTTTTTTCAATCCCGACAAGTTGTCAAGCATTTCATTGGTAATTGATTCTCACGACCACCTTGGAAGTCCACAAAGTATAACACCAGATGAATTGCTAGACAACCAAGGCATTGAATTCAGATTAGAGTGCAAATTTAAAAATGCGAAATTAATCCTTAATTTTCAAAAACTTTCTAAAAAATTCAATAAAAATAAACGATTTTTTTAAAAAAATAAGTTGAAAGTTGACATGAAGTTAGTATTCTAACACACCTCGTTAAGAATTCCAGGGTTAGGCAGCAATCCATGAATGACATGCTAACATGATCGAAATTTTATCCATCATAACATGAATTGTACAATAAGCCAGTACTAAATTAGGTTAATTTTATAGTATAGGAAAAGCAAAATCTGAAACAGGCTTCGCAGTTACCCCATAGAGGGGAGAATCTAGAAACTAGGCTTTTGAGGTAGTGTGTAGCTTAAAACACATTTCAAATAAAGCCTAACTATAAAGATCATCTTCATCAGCCCCACCAGCAGAAGTTGTGAAGGGGTCAGAGCCAGTGGTTCTAGCTCCACCACTCTCCTGGAACCTAAACTCACTGCCGAAACCCCGTGATTGTTGTAAGGTCTGAGCAAATGCCTGGTATTTGCGGATATCAGCATCACTGACACTCCTACGTGCATACTTCATTGACTCTTCAAAATGAGCAGCCTTGATCTCTGCAACATCTTCCTCGATGTCTTCATCCATGGCCTCAGGGTTTTCTCTTCTCTTCCTCTCTCGCTCTATGTCCTGCAAGACACCAGACAAGTACTTCAGGTCAAACATTGTGACATGAACTACATTGAACAGGTATTATAAATGACTCGGTCTAGTGCCTCGGTTTCAAACCGATTCTCATTCACATTTTATGATCCTGCAGAACTAGTTGTCCAAGATTTGTAATTAACAAATTGATGACTTAACCAAACAAGTGTCAATGAACAGAAGAATATATATTTTTTTTCAATGATTATATTGCTATACTTCCTATTCATATTGTGAAGACCATCATAACAATGAATGGTTAAGCGTATTGCTAGACCAATTATAACAAGCACAGAGACTTAAAAAGGGCAATTTGGTCCAAGAAGTTTAACAACTTGATTCTAAATGTACTGCACGAGCAAGTGAAAGCACCACCAAAACACAGAAGAACTAAGTAAAAATCAGTAATGGACTTTACTAAAGCTGAAAAAGCACTCCCTAGATAGCCATACTGGCATCAGAGGCTGTTTCCTCGAAAGCTTGAAGAGCTAAAAGAATTTTTATCTATTAACCTCAACCCAAATAAACTTATAATCATACCTTTTCTATGTTTTCTCTTATAGCATATTTGCAGGCTCGCTGGCAGATCTCAGTTATATCAGCACCACTAAAGCCTTGAGTATACTTAGCCAGTGCTCTCAAATCAACATCTTTTGAGACAGGTGACTTCCTCATGCAGGCCTTGAAAATTTGATAACGGGACTCCTCATCAGGAAGAGGAATATAGATCAATTGATCAAGACGGCCAGGCCGAAGAAGAGCTGGGTCAATGATGTCAGGTCGGTTGGTTGCCCCAATTATGAACACGGTCTTTTTGGCAGACATGCCATCCATTTCAGTCAGAAGTTGATTTAGAACTCTATCAGCAGCACCACCAGCATCTCCAACACTGCTTCCTCTCTGCAACAATGACAGAGTATATGTGCAAACAATGGTAAAGGTATTAAATCATATCCAAAAAATAACTTTGGTGCATGGAATTGACGAAACTTTTTAAAAGCATGCATCAGAAATAATAAACACAAAATACAATTATAACTCAGTTTAATCTCAATCATGGGTACCGCATACTAATAACAAACGAGGAATGTGATGTGACAAAAAATGAGACCTGAGTAGCAATGGAGTCGAGCTCATCAAAGAAGAGGACACATGGAGCTGATTGTCTAGCCTTGTCAAAAATTTCTCGAACATTGGCTTCACTTTCACCAAACCACATAGTAAGCAATTCTGGGCCTTTCACACTGATGAAGTTAGCTTGACATTCGTTAGCAATTGCTTTGGCTAACAAAGTTTTCCCACATCCTGGGGGACCATAGAAGAGGACTCCTTTTGATGGTGACATACCAAACTTCTCAAATTTTTCTGGGTGCTCCACTGGATATTGAACAGTCTACACCCACAAAGCCAAAAGCATTTCAGATTGATATAAAACTACGTAACAAGGTGTAACTCAGATAGTTGAGACTTATGACCTCCTGCAGTTCACGCTTAACATTCTCAAGGCCTCCAATATCTTCCCAGCTGACATTAGGCACCTCAACAACCTGTCAATAGAGATAATTAATTAGGGGAAAGAAGAAAAAAGACAGAAAGTCTGGCAAACTAATAATAATTAAAATTTAAAGGAATTAAAAACAAAATAAAAAACTACTAACAGTTTCTCGTAGAGCGGAAGGATTGCTTGTTCCTAGAGCAGTCTGGAAATGCTCATTTGTGACTGCCATAGAATTAAGTATTTCAGCATCAATAGTCTCATCTTCCAAATCAATGACATCCATCTTCTCCCTAATGCATTGCAGAGCAGCTTCCGTGCAAAGGGCAGCAAGGTCAGCACCAACATACCCATGAGTATCTTTTGCGATTCTTTCTAGATCAACCTACAGCACGAAGAACAGAGCACTTGAATAACAGAAAATTTAAGGATGTCAATGAATAAAACTAAAACCAGAAATAAAGCTACTGGTGCATTTTATATCAACTTGATTGGGTATTATTCACACTGTATAATTTAAGACCATAAAAGTAACCAGTATGAACTTACATCATCAGAAAGCTTCATGTTTTTGGTATGTATGCGGAGGACTTCAAGTCTCCCAACTTCATCAGGAACACCAATATCAATTTCCCTATCAAATCTACCAAACCTTCTCAATGCAGGATCAATGCTATTTGGACGATTTGTTGCTCCAATAACAATTACATGAGCTCGAGATTTTAATCCATCCATAAGAGTTAAAAGTTGTGAAACAATCCTCCTTTCAACTTCGCCATGCGTCTTCTCACGCTTTGGTGCAATAGAATCAATTTCATCAATAAAGATGATGGAGGGGGCATTCTTTTCAGCTTCTTCAAATGCTTTCCTAAGATTGCTCTCACTCTCTCCAGCCAGCTTGGACATAATCTCTGGTCCATTAATACAAAAGAAGAAGGCTCCTGTTTCATTAGCAACAGCTCTAGCTATTAATGTCTTACCAGATCCTGGGGGTCCATACAGCAAAATTCCTTTGGGTGGCTTCACACCAATTGATTTAAAAAGTTGGGGATGCCTCAATGGAAGCTCCACCAATTCACGAATCTCTGCCATTTGCTTCCTGACACCCCCCACATCATCATACCCAACTTCATCTAGCCTTTCCTCATCCTCTCTTTTAACAGGTTCCCCCTCACAGAATATTTCAGTGTCTGGGGCAACCACACAATACTCCCCAGGATCAGTTTCAATGACCTTGAACTCCACACTTCTCATCCCTCCTCGGACAAGAAACAGATCTCCTTTTCTGACTGGCCGATAAGCCTCCAAGAAATAAGCTGCAAATTATAAACAAAGAAAATTAGTTAAAACCTAGTACAAACGCAGAATATGCAGTGGGAAGGTGACAGAATCAAACCCTTTGAATATTTAACAACCCCAAACCACCTGTTTCAATAAAAACAGTCAAATGCTTTTGCAAATGAAGACAAACCTAGCAACTAGGAGTCATAAAAATAAAATAAAATCCACCGATATTTTACTCTCTCTAATATTGCAAGGCTTCTTATAACTTATTAAACAAATTTTAAGTATAATGCAATGAGACTCATTCAACAATAAGCTTTAAAAAACAAAAACTCTAGCCCAACAAAACAATCTGACTCACAGCCACCGGTTAGTAGAATACACTAAACAAAATTCAGCAATTAAGTATCATTACATTATAATCACACAATCAAACTGTACTCTAAAACTCATCATTTCTGCTACAGTAGAAGTAGTAACTCACGTTTCAAGTAAGCATCAAAGAGATTGCCAGTGACACCTTCAACAGTATCGTCAATGGGAAGAATGTGAACCCGCTTCCCATACTTAACATCAGGACACTGGTGCACTGACACAACATCTCCAAGACGAACCCTCAAATTGGACCTCACAACTTTGTTCATCCTAATCTTTGGTTCCTCACAATTCTCATCAGCAAGAGCTATGCAAATCGTGTCCCTCCGTTTCTTTCCCTGCAACACAAATACATAATAAATCCCACACATCATTTTTCAATTTTCACCAAACAACAACAATAATTTAACAAACTAACAAAAACCCATAATCTGTGAATTGACGGAGAAGACAGAGGAAAGTGAAAAAAGAGACCTTGATGAGAATAGTGTCGCCGCGGAAAAGTTGGAGCTTTTCCATTGTTTGAGGGTGCAATGAAACCACTGAGTTATCATCGTTAATGGCCTCGTCCACGATTAATCGGTTCGGCGATTTCTTCCGTTCAAGAATAGCCGTCGAGAAGTCTTTCTTCCCCGATTTCCTGAATTTCGATTCCAAAAACAAAAGAAATTTAACTCCGTTAAACAGGGATTTGGCATTTGGGGGAAAACCATAAACAAAATAGTAGAGGACGAGTTGACTCACGAGTCCGATGATTCAGCCTGGTGAGACATGGTTGGAATCGATGATCGAACGGCAACGATGAGAGAAAGCAATGCTAAGAAGTAAAAATCGGAAGTAGTGTGGTTTAGTTCAGGGGTGGACTCTTCTTATATATTATGCGTAGAATGGAAAGATGTTAACTTCTGTTATTCAGATTATTTTATGAGAATATAGACAAGATAAAGGTTAAATTGCTTCTTTTTTTTCTTCAATTTTATGTTTATTGTATTTTATTCCTTCAATTTTTAATTACACAACTTTAATTTTTTTATTTTTTTACTTAAATAAGTTACATTTTTTTATATTGTCATTCCATTTTTACTCTCTCTTTTTTCCTTCTTAATCACACATAAAGTTGAGTAAAAAAATCCAGATATATAAATCTAATATGAAGTTAATCTAATTTTAAAATTCAAATTTTTAGTAAAACTGGATACTCAGCTTATTATTTTTTTAGTCCGAATATGTCTTGGATTTTATTTAACAAGAACATATTAAAACCAAAAAACTCTAGATATACAAATCCAATTTATAACAAAAGCTAATCTAATTTTAAAATCTAAATTTTTATTAAAACTGGAAAGTTAAAGATTACGTTTGTTTCTCGCTGGATTTAACTATTCGTATAAGTAAATTCGCACTGGTGGATTTATGTATGAAAGTGGATAGTTTGACCAAAATCCAAATTTTAAAGCTAATTTTAAATTAATTTTAAAATAATAAAATAAAATAATTTAAAATTCAATTAATATAATTAAATTTAAAATAAATTTGAATTAATTTTATACAAATTCAATCTATGAATATCCTAACCAGACAACAAAGTCGTTATTGCGGTTTTCCTCTTTCATATTTTTTAGGCTCTATCGTTAGCTATGAAAATTTTCTTCCTCATATTCTTTCTTCTCTACTATTGTCAACAGTACCATTTGTTTTATTAAAATCAAACCATTACGCCTCATATGAAATCTATTTGTTTTATTCCATTAAATGATCGTCTATTACTTTATCTTATAAATCAATAAATTTACCATTTTTTTATAAATTTATTCATTTTATTATATTATTTTACTTTGATTTTTAGTTTCATCGAGCACTCTTTAGATTTAAATTATAATCATTTTAAAATTAAAAAATCTAAAAAATATAAGTCGTGAAAAAACAAATGGTAAAAAATCAATAAAGACTAATATAAATCAAATGGTAAAAAAATGGGTTATAGTTTTATTACATTTTGATATGAAATTTAAATTAAATCGTATGTTCTTTTATGTTTATTTTAGATAAGTTTTTTAATATATAAAAATGAACTAAATTAAAACATAAACACCTCTGACATTCAAACAAACTTATAATATATCATTATAATTGGATTAGCTGTCTTAAAAAAAACACTTCAAATAAAATTACAAGCTTACTTCCTTATTCATAACACATAGACATAAAAAAAAAATTAAAAACAATAGAAAATTAAATAATCCCAACCGAAACTATGACCTATTTTCTTACAACAAGGTCATTGACGAAGCATTCTATATTTTTCTCAGAAGATCCGTTGGGCTTCAGTGCATCTTCTAATTTCAGATTAACCTCCCTTAGTGCAGCCTTCAATTGGTCTCCTAATTTTCCATCCATCAAACGGTTGACATTCTTCGAGACCTCCTCTTTTGTGATCACCTTTTGATCGGTCAAATTAATCCCAACCATCCAATCATCTACCACTATTTTTCGATTGGTGAATTGGTCGGTCAACAGAGGAAAACACAGCAATGGAACCTCAAACCAAAGGCTTTCTAAGATGGAATTCCACCCACAGTGAGTCAAGAACCCACCAATTGCAGGGTGGGCCAAAACCTGGGTTTGACAACACCATGGTACTATCAACCCACGATCACCAACCCCTTCCCTAAACCCAATGGGTAGTGGGTCAACATCTTCTGAGCTCACAATATCGGGCCGAAGGACCCAAATAAAACTCACTTTGCTGAGCAAAAGCCCATTTGCAATTTCTACAAGATCCCTTTCAGTGACATGGGCATAGCTACCAAAAGAAGCATACAAGACTGAACCATGAGGCTTGGACTGGAGCCAGTGGGTGCAATCTGACTCGGGCCATAAGCTTGTTGCTACTGGGCCCTTGGCTAAACGAAATGGGAAGAGGGGTCCAATGGCATAGAATGGCTGGTGGGCTTGTAATGCTGCTATGACATTGGGCTCAAGCTCTTCCACTGTATTGCATAGCACAGAATCTGCATTCTTTACATCATGGAACATTTTGAATAATATTTTGTGCAACACTGTGGATGTATCTGCTTCTTGAAGATACGATGCTGTGTCCTTTGGATCAATTGCTTCCACTCCAGGTACGTAGTCAATGGGGTCTTTCCTGCCATCTTTACCCAAAAAAAAAAAGCAATTTTATTTTTTTGTTTTCAAGATTGATCATCAACGACTCCATTTTTTTAAAATTTAATTTAATCAAATATATAGCACAATTAATGATATTTTATAGAGATTAGATTTGTAATATTGTCTTAATAATTATTCAAAAAGTGTTACTAATATATTTTTTAACATTTTTTACTGTTATTTAAATTTTATTGAAACAGAATCTCACCTGTAACTTAATATTTTTTTTCGTATTTTTATCATTTTTAATAAATTTTAACTTAATAGAACATTTTTTAAAAGGTGCTTTGTAAGCATTTCTCTAATTACATATATAATTAAAAAAATCCATAAACATTCAATTTCGCAAAAAAAATTAAAAATACAGGCTTATAGTCAACGGAGTAGTTCCTACTATCTTTGCCCAAAAAACAAAAGCAAATTGATTTTTTTTTTCAAGATGGAATGCTATCATCATTTATTCAACTTTCATTGTTTTATTATTATTATTATTACAAGTAGAAGAAAGAGAAAGTTACGAGAAGTTCCTTGATTTTATTATTAATATATAACACAATTAATAATATTTCATAGAGATTAAATTTAACATATTTTATGAATAATGACTCTTAAAATACTTTTACAAATTAAGAGATTAAAATAAAAAATTAAATTAAGTAAAAATAAGAGTTAATGGGCTAATCTACCATTTTAAGTCTATTATTATTTAATTTAGTAAAATATACAACACAGTTAATTGATATGTAATTCAAAATCCATAAACATGTAATTTAATAAATAAATTAACACGATTATATAAATACTTGATTGAGGATTTAGATTCTTTCTAATTTTTGTAAGAATTGGACATCCGATTTCATTTTTGTTTAAGTGAATTAGATTCTCTTAAGCAAAAATGCATAAAATAATAAAAATTATTTACATAAAATTAGCTTAAATAAATTTTTTAGCTTAAAGTTAATTTTTGCAAATTTATTTAAATTATTTTGACTTAAGTGAATTTTGTACATTTAAGAAGATGGAGGCTGAAGATAAAAAAAAAAAAAGACTAAAAATGGATAGAGATAAGGAGAGCAGATAATACAAAAATAATGACAGAAGGAGAGAAGGGTGGAGGGATGAATATGGAAGAAATAAAAAGAGATTTGCACGAGATCAGATGAGAATGAAAATAAGAAGAAAGGAATTGGAGCATGTTGTGAAAGGAAGAGGGAGTTAGAAGAAAAAAAAAAGAGTTAGGTACGAGAGAAAAAAGAAGGATAAATATAAAGGTTAAAAAAGGTTGAACATAAAAGTTGAAAAAATAATATTAGACATGAAAAAAAGAAGAAAAAAAAAAGACGCACAATTTGCTTAATCTAAAAAAAATTGCTTAAACAAAAAAAAATTTACTTAAGTTAATTTTATATAAAATAATTTTGTCATTTTTGCTTAAATAAATCTAAATTCCCGCTAAAATTAAAGAAATTCAGATCTAAAATTTTATTTTGTGAACGCATAGAATACATAAAATATTTGTCCGCAACTAGTCGCAAGGATAAAAACAAATTATCGAAAATAAGCTGATAATGAGTATGCTACACGACACCCAGAACATCATAAATTTATGGGCCTAAAATACATTATTCAAAACTTTTGTAATCATCAAAGCTTTTTTGGTCCCAATCCGAGACCACATGTTCCCACCTACTTATACCTTTGTGATTTTTTTTAATAAATTGTAAAATTTGTATCTGTCAACATTATACATACTTCGTAATCCCCCAAGTCAAGACTCTTCCATTGGAGGTTTTAAACACTCAAAAAATGAAAAGATACGAGTAAAATGAAAAATTAATAATGTATCTCGTTAAATTAACTTAGTTATTATAAATTTAGCCTTTTATAAAAATTCTGAACAGTATGTATTTGTTAAATAATTTCAATTTTTTAATTAAAAATGAAATTATATATTTATTTAAAAATTAAATATATTTTAACATAATTTTTAATTAAACTTTTTATTTATTATTTTTAATTGATGTCCATAAGATACTGAACAACAAATTTTAGTTTTTTTTTTTTTTATTTGAGTGGGAACTAAATTATTCTAAGGTGATTTATTCACTATATCAAATTTTAGATATATACATCTACAACTATATAATTATATAATTGACATTTAAACATAATATTAAACATCTCAAATAAAGTTATTAAATATTAAAGAGTTACTCGTAAAGAAACTTAATCTTTATTACTGTAACCGACTATGATTTTACTTATGACGTTAATAGAGTCTATTAACATAAATAAGATGTATATTATAGCAGAGATTTTGAGTTACCATTAGAGTCGAAGTGGCCGTTGTCTCTGAGAAGATCCATGTGGTAGTATAGAGTGAAAACCAAAGCAGTCTCCGTCCAAAACGACGCCCAAAGCAACCCAAACTTGTCGGCTATGGTGGATGCCCAAACAAAGAAGGTATCAGCAATCAAACAAGTCACGGGTGGATCCGAACTCTTCACAATCTTTGCAACCAACTCTTCTACATGAGCCGACATGAAATGCAACAAAGATTCCATAAACTCGTCGTGGTTGAGGGACCTGTCGTATTCCACCGGAAGACCGTCGGAAACCGTCGTGTAGCGTATGTCGAGGCCGGAGTCCTTGACGGCGGCGAAGAGGTCATGGTGGTTAGGGTTACCGTTGGTGTTGGCTTTGGAGGTTTGGTGGTGGATGGAGTGGGTGTTGACGAAGGTGATTGTGAGGCCTTTTGATGCGAGCTTCATGGCCAAATTCACTGCGGGGATCACGTGACCTTGCAGTGGATATGGGAAGATTATGGCGTGAGGATTTTGGTTCCTTGCCATGGCAGAGAAGCACAGAGGATGACTGTTCTTTGGTTTGTTTTGATCTTAAGCTTTTGAAATTTTAAGGGTATTTAAGACAACAAAGTTTGGATTTGAGATAATCATATGATTTGGAAAATTGTTTGATGTAATAATTATAGTAAATATTTTAAGGTTTTGCTTGTGAGTTATTTTTTCAGAAAAGTGAGGCAAAATGAAAGTCAATTTACCTCTCAGTTCTTTTAATTTGAAGGATCTTTTATCAACTCTTTTTCTTTCTCTTTTTTCTACTCTTTCTTTATTTTTTGAATTCTTTTTTTTTACTAAAGCATAATTTAATACTTTAAATGTATTTTTAAGATACGTATAAAATAAATAAAAAATTATATACAATGTTTTTAAAGTTACTTAAACAATAAAATTCATGATTAAAAAGTATTTGTGACTGTGTATTCGTTTTTTTTTATACAACATTTTTTCAACAACATTATTTATACAAGTGTAATTAAAATACATCTGCGATATTTACATATTTTAAATATTTCTTTTCTATATTCTTACGCCCAAAAATATAATCAACAATTTATCCATTGAAACATGAATAATATGCAAATACAGATAAGATACACAAGTTGAACAACAGTATAATAATTTTGTTATGCTGCTTTTTTAATAATAATAATAATAATAATAATTTCATTAATAATAGTTTATTTTGGTAATCTCAAAGTTTAACCCATTTAACATTATTAAAAAATAAATAAAAAAACAGCTTTCTATTGAGTATTAAAAAATAATTTCTATATATTTTATTGATAAAATTTGTAAACAGGATAATGTCACAATATTTCATACAAAGATCGTGGCTTGTCGTCATTAATAGTATTTTTTAAACATGACTGATATTTTAAAACGGTGAAAGTCCTCATTAAATTATGGTCGAACTCGTAATATATCTATTATATAATTTATTTTAATATATTTTGACATATATTAAATATTTGATTAATTTTTTATTATATTCAAATGAAACAATATAATATGCATTAAAATGTGTTATTTTATATAATAAAAATAATAATTTAATGGTTAAATATTTATTTCAGAAATTATAATTATGGGTGCTGAATCCTATATCCGATTCTTATCGGTTTCGACAGTTCAAATATTATATTTCAATTTTAACTCCACACTTCCTATGACCTTTGGTTTTCCGTCTTTTATATCTTACTAAGTCGAACTCTATAAATACGACATGTTCTATTTTAATAATTTTTTAAATAAATGTACTGATTGAATAATTTGAAAAATAAATACTTTATTTGTGTATATAAAAAGGCCCATTGCTCTTTCATTGTTTTTTTTTTTTTTTGCAGCAGCAGCATTTCATTGTTTAAATCGAAGTGTCAATTTTTAAGTTTAATTTAAATATTTAAAATAATAAATTTTATTAAATAATAATATTTATTATATTAAGAAAATAAGAACATTTTTTAAAGAGAATCATTAGCTAATTACTTACAAGGACCCGTCTCGTCCCGTTGTTACCGCTTAAATCACTTCTAAGTCTTTAAAAAGTAAAGTCAAGCATTTAGCATCACGTTGAGTGCTTGAAAACAAAATTAAAAATTCTGTAAAATACTTTAAAATGGAACTATAGTTTTTCAGATTAACCCCACTCATAATTGGCGGTTGTCTTTAAATATTTTTCATTAAAAATATCACTTTATTAAAAGTGGAGAATGAAAATGATAGGAAAAAATTGGATTCAAAAGCTTAGTTTTGTATACTAATCAATGATAGAGATGAGAAAATAGTAATAAACAAAAATATCGTTACAATAAAGATAAAGTAGTAATAATATTTTATATTTTTAAAATTTCCAATCCAATCAAATAAAGAGTGAACAAATTATATTCCTTTTTTACTTTTTTCCCTATTTTCTCTCGATGTAAATCATGTAAAGAATAAGGTGTACTTTTTTAGGACCACATGCTACTGTTGTGTTTTTGTCCTTTATGTACGAAACATCCGCATCTAATAATTATTTTAAAATAAAATCATATTTTTAATCTCCTATAATATATATATATATATATATATATATATATAAAAGAATTTTTAATTAAATTAATATTATTTTTCATTAAAAATGTCTGCTAAATTTTGTCTTTGTTATTATTATTATTATCTTTACTTTGTTTTTTTTTCATCTATTCTTTATTTTTTCTTTTTGTTCTCTACTATATGGAATTTTTTTTATGAAAAAAATATGGCCATGACATTGACAAACCACTATTAGAGCCATACAATAAGTAAGTGAGAGTAAAGTGAGATATATTTTAATTTAAAATATAATTTTGAATATGAATTATTTAGTTTTTTTATTTAAATAATATATATTTTAAAACTAATTTTAAAAATAGGATACTAGTTAAATTATTTTTTTGTTTAATGTTATATTTGTTTATGTCAGGGATAGTATCACCTATGTATGGATAATAGAAAATTTTTATTATTATTTTAATATACTATCAGACTAGAATAATTGATACAAGTCCACACATGTATATGTGAAGCTTGTAAAATTGACAAGTAAAAGTAAAAAAAAATAAAAATTAAAAAGACATAAATAGTATGAGAAAAGTTGGGACGATACAAGACATGTGTCATGGGTTCATTTGTATCAACAAAATGCCAATGATACTATTTTAAAATAGACGGTTAGAGAGAAAGCGTGCCACGTGTTAAGATCATAACTATTAGCAGAGACCGAGCAACTGGCCTATCGACCCATCTGGCCGATATTCGTTTAGATACAAACGTCGCGAGTGACTACTTTGTCTTGCTGGCCCATTTTTCCTTCATTAACGCCGAGGAAGGAAAATTGTGGAGTGATTCTGAAAAATTTTCTCCTCAAAAAATTATGTCCCTCCTCATGTGCCATTTTTCTTTTCTCAGTATACACAAAGTTCGTACTTTCATTCATTATAACCTACCACACATTCTAGGTTTTTGTTTAGTAGTGGAGAAGACTATGTTCCTGACTTTCATCATTTTATGACTCCATCCATACGATTTGTCATTGTTTACAACATCTGTACTAGGTCCATTGAGTCAGATAGTTGGAAAACGTTTTATGGTCTCATTAAGGGATTGTGGCATTGATTTAAATGCCCACTTTGTAGCAGCTGTTGATGCTAGCTAGAATGATGTGTGATGTAATGCTCATCAAGAGGCTAGAGATCAATCTCGTCATTACATCCTCATTCCACATAAGGACCAAGATCAGTAGAGGCCCCAATAGTGATTTTACTTATATATGTTTTTTTAAAATGTGTTTGTATGACTATGCTTCATAGTTGTTTCATACATAAAGACGTACAAAACCACATGCAATTGAAAACTAATGTAATCTTAAAATTTATAACATATGTATCACAATGAAGTACTCATACAACATAATACACCTACTACCATTAAATATAGTGATTTTACATTGATAGTAATGCTATTATAATGTAATTTATATCCCATTTCGAAAAGAAAGTTAACTTTGCCTTGCACAATGATGTTGGTTGTGACCAATATGTTTACACAAACTACATTGTTGACGAGGTTAAAAGTTTACTCAATCCATTTCATTCCTAATACATGTAGACTTTGGTCAACCTTTTTCCCTTACTCTTTGCTCGTTAGGGACTAACTTTCATTCATTGGATGTTAGTATGTTACTTTTATTTTTAAGAGGCTACCAATCATGCGAGTATGCATTTACAATATATTGCATTGAATAAACTGCATCAACCCATTGTCAATAATCAATACTCACTGATGCACAAGCTACTATTACATGTGAGCAAAGAAATTGATACACTTGAAACTTTCCACATTCACAAAATCGATTGTCTAATATCACAGTCCACTTAGTACCACCTTGTTGGGTAATTGGATTAAATACCTTGTTTACTTCGAATCTTATTCTTTGTATGTCATATTGTCAAACTTGATGTGAAGACGCTTCTTATTAATTTTTTTTTTCCATATGTTACATTAATTTACGACAAAACCTACTACCATCGTTAAGCTTTTTCTTGCTTCTTCACCACATTTAACAAAATACTTAACTAAATGTCTATATGTACATTTTACCAGTGCAGTTATTGGCAAGTTTCTTGCACCTTTCAATATTTTGTTAACAGCCTAAGATAAATTGGTTGTCATGTGGCCATAACATCTACCTTCGTGGTCATAAGAAAGAGTCCATTTTTTTTGGAGATGCAATCAATCCAATTCTTTATTTCCTTTGACTCATTTTGAAACCTGCCAAGTTTTTCTTCAAATCTGTGCTTGCATGTTGTATATCATGTTCAATGAATCAGAAAAATGTCATATAACTTTAAACATATATAGATAAAAACTTATAAAATAACAACTAAAAGAACGTGAATAAACTTAACAATAATCGTACCTAATTTGATAAGTTCTTTTTTCAAAATTAGATTTTTGAATCGCTGATTAAAATTGGTTACGATGTGACAAATATAGTAAACATGATATCTGTTTAGAGGCTGCCACCCAATGTGTGGATTAGAAACTGAACCTTTTATACTTTGATGTCTATCAGAAATCAAACAAATACCAGCCTTATATATGACATGAAGATGAATAAGAGCCAAAAACCATTTTCATGCTGACAATGTCTCCCTTTCCATAGTTAAAAATACAATTGGAAGCACACAATTATTTTCATATTGAGCAGTAGTAATCAGTAAAGTTTGTCGGTACTTACCAGAAAAGAATATACTATTTAACTGTATTAAATGTTTGCAAAAATTGAAAGTACTTATGCATTGTCTGAATGACCAAAATAATTGATGAAAGACTTTATATCTGTTATCAACATGGTGACCCCTTACATAATCATTGGTTTCAATTTTATAAACTGATCCAGAAGCATATAATTGCATGCACTTCAACCATCTTGATAATGTAACATATGATTCATCTAAATCACCAAA